CTAATCCTGGGCTGAATTATGCTGAATGGCCGTTGAGAAAACTTTAACCCCATGGCGATCCAACTGAATTTGTGAGATCTGAGCTCTTTTTGGACATATTGAGCACTCATATCCAAGCTATCCAGGGATATGTTGAACCTAGGGGTTGAATATTGTATAATATGAGTTATGTATTTTTATGTGGTTTTTGTTACAGTTTCAATTTAAGAATATTTTCTGTACCTAGAGATAATTAAGTTGCTACGGTCACTTAAGCCAATTATCTCCAGGATTGAGGGGAGGGTTCAGAAAGATGAACTTTATTCTGATTTGTTTATGTTCCTTATGTCCCTCTGTTCCATCAGGTCAAGAGGGGTGTGCCCCTGGCTTGAAAATGTGTATAAAAGAAATGCAAGTTGTTCAATAAACCAGTCTTCTTACCCCCAACTCGCAGCCTTGACTCGTGTTGTAGGGAAATGCTAATCACTAGCTCTGCTCAGAGCTCCAAGCATCTTCTACACTTCCAGGGATATCGGTAGTTGCTGAAATGAAACATTTCACCGCTCTCCAAGCTCGGGGACAAGGACATCTAGGCGGACCAACCCTCAGCTAGCCTGGGGCAACCGTAGCAATATATTTCTTGGGTCAAATATTTTGTGACCTGTAGAGTGCTTCTAGTGCAGTTGTTAGCTGATTATCTTGACCGCTGTTTCCCCTAGTGCTCACCAAGGATAGTTTCCTTAAAAAAAGTTGAATTAGTTTGTTTGTCCTCAGGCCATGACTCATCCCTAGAAGCAGAGCATTAATCTTGCCACTCATCAACAATAGAAAAAAATTAAGTGAGTTCTTGGTCCTCCTCATCCGATGGAGGTTTAGGTGGAAGTCTAGGTTCAGTAGTGCTATGCTTACTGAGCTTGACTGGTGCTTTGTCCTTTGACTTTCTAGGCCCTTTGCCCTCTTCTTTCCAAACATTTAACTGGTTTTGATTGTTATGGTATAGAATAATCTGAATTCCCTGATACGTCCGACATATGTGAAGGTGTCTTAGCTGTGGACCTTGCCTTAACAGTGTCTGCCATCTGTGCAAAAACTTTAGAGAGGGGTTTTTCAATTGTAGCCAAAATTGCTGAATTGCTTATATTTTGCAGACCAGGAGCCTGGGTTTGTGACTCTTCCATGTTAAAGGTAGTATTATAGATACAGTCTGGAACTCAATTGCAGGGTGTAAAAAGGAAAACAAACAACCAAATTATTATTGTTTAAATTACACAGACAGTGGTATAGTATGGATCAGTGTCCATTGATACATAGGAGATATCCAGGTAACTTGTCTCTAAAAATATGCCACAAGAATTATGCAAAAGAGGATTCACTCAAAATAGCAGGCGCATGTGTGCAAAGACCGCAAATAGCACAAGAGCATAAATTCACAGTCTAGGTCAACAGATTCGAATGTAGAGAACTAGAAGGTGTGCCCAAACAGCTCCCAAATCAGGAAAGTGAAGGGAAAAAGCCACAACTACTGCAGCAAACATAATGAAGGGACTGTGAATTACCCCAAATCGAGTAAATAAGGAGGCTAAATCCCCAATCTCCAAAGGGCTAAGGAGCACCTAAATTAGTAAAAGGCAGAGTAACCAATATAGAAACATACAAAAAATAAATATGAACACTGTTTGTTGTTAATATGTACAACCATAATACAATAGGAGTAGTTATACTCTGATCTGTATGCTGCTGGAGCAGCAAAGAAAGAGAAGGGACTCTGTGTCTCATTGCCTTATATATTGATTCCTTTGTTCTGATTTATTACTTGCTTCATAGATTTTTATTTGCTGCTGTTGGAGCTAGCAAAGGAAGATAAGTCAATATGAAGCATCATGTCATGCAATAAATCTACAGTATCACAATAACTTTAGCTTAATGAAGCAGTTGTGGTATATAGTTTGTACCCCTACAGTCTCAGTGGTCAATTCTCTGCCATTTAGGAGTTAAATAGCTTTTGTTTCTGTTTATGCAGCCATAGTCACACCTCACCTAACTGTGACTCACAGAGCCTCAATGAAAAAACAAAAACAAAATCAGATCTTACAGCACAGTGTGTTTAGAAGGTCTTATCTCCTGATCTGTTTATTTAACTTTAATCACACACAAGAAGTTGTTGCAATGTGCAGTGAAATAAGCTAAAAAAAATTAAACCGTTTTTAAAGCAGTCATAGCTAGGCTGTGTGTGTCTTAGCCAGTGGCATAGCACTGAGCAATGTGAGCCTGAATTGGCGTGATCTACACCAAAACTACTTTATTAAATTTAGGTAGTTTGGTGCTTTAATAGCTATTGAAGATAAATTATATCACCCAATAGTTTAATACTAAATAATTAATTGGAAAAAATGTATCACCTTCAGATTACTACTATAGTATCCTATATATAATATTTAAAGACAAAACCTCTGTGCTGATTTACAAATCACAATTTAAAGAAATGTGTTTTTTGTTAAAATATCACAATATATAAATTTTGTCACTGGCCCCATTGATATACTGTTTATATATATATTTTATATAAAAGTTTAAAGAGTATACATTTCCTGTCTGTGTATAAATATACATAGCATAAATCATAATAATGCAACTAGTAATCTAAAAAGGTCTTAATTGAAGCATTATTTCTGTTTTATATAAAAAAGGTTGGTTGCATGTTTGACAAGGGTGGTAGTCCATTTGGAAAATTAATTTTAATTCATAGACGTCTAATTTCTTATCATATTCCTACTTCTTTTAAAGTAAAAGTGAAAATATATTTAATATAGGTTTTGTATCCTTTCTTTCTTTAGTTTGCTTATTTTGCTCATGGAATACGTAAAAGGATACTTCCTTGCAATAAAATTGTCATGGTGCAAAGAGATCACGTGCACTATCTTACTTTAAAGGGTTAAACCCATTCATTAAACATTAACCGTTTGTAAGCCTACATACAGTTGCAAGAAAAAGTATGTGAACCCTTTGGAATAATATGGATTTCTGCACAAATTGGTGATAAAAAATGTGATCTGATCATCATCTAAGTCACAACAATAGACAATCACAGTCTGCTTAAACTAATAACACACAAAGAATGAAATGTTGCCATGTTTTTATTGAACACACCATGTAAACATTCACAGTGCAGGTGGGAAAAGTATGTGCACCCCTAGACTAATGACATCTCCAAGAGCTAATTGGAGTGAGATGTCAGCCAACTGGAGTCCAATCAATTAGATGAGATTGGAGGTGTTGGTTACAGCTGCCCTGCCCTATAAAAAACACACACCAGTTCTGGGTTTGCTTTTCACAAGAAGCATTGCCTGATGTGAATGATGCCTCGCACAAAAGAGCTCTCAGAAGACCTACGATTAAGAATTGTTGACTTGCATAAAGCTGGAAAGGGTTATAAAAGTATCTCCAAAAGCCTTGCTGTTCATCAGTAAGACAAATTGTCTATAAATGGAGAAAAGTTCAGCACTGCTGCTACTCTCCCTAGGAGTGGCCGTCCTGTAAAGATGACTGCAAGAGCACAGCGCAGACTGCTCAATGAGATGAAGAAGAATCCTAGAGTGTCAGCTAAAGACTTACAAAAGTCACTGGCAAATGCTAACATCCCTGTTAGCGAATCTACAATACGTAAAACACTAAACAAGAATGGATTTCATGGGAGGATACCACAGAGGAAGCCACTGCTGTCTAAACAAAACATTGCTGCACGTTTACAGTTTGCACAAGAGCACCTGGATGTTCCACAGCAGTACTGGCAAAATATTCTGTGGACAGATGAAACCAAAGTTGAGTTGTTTGGAAGAAACACAACACTATGTGTGGCGAAAAAAAGGCACAGCACACCAACATCAAAACCTCATCTCAACTGTGAAGTATGGTGGTGGGGGCATCATGGTTTGGGGCTGCTTTGCTGCGTCAGGGCCTGGACGGATTGCTGTCATCGAAGGAAAAATGAATTCCCAAGTTTATCAAGACATTTTGCAGGAGAACTTAAGGCCATCTGTCTACCAGCTGAAGCTCAACAGAAGATGGGTGTTGCAACAGGACAGTGACCCAAAGCATAGAAGTAAATCAACAACAGAATGGCTTAAACAGAAGAAAATACGCCTTCTGAAGTGGCCCAGTCAGTCCTGACCTCAACCCGATTGAGATGCTGTGGCATGACCTCAAGAAAGCGATTCACACCAGACATCCCAAGAATATTGCTGAACTGAAACAGTTCTGTAAAGAGAAATGGTCAAGAATTACTCCTGACCGTTGTGCACATCTGATCTGCAACTACAGGAAATGTTTGGTTGAAGTTATTGCTGCCAAAGGAGGTTCAACCAGTTATTAAATCCAAGGGTTCACATACTTTTTCCACCTGCACTGTGAATGTTTACATCGTGTGTTCAATAAAAACATGGCAACATTTTATTCTTTGTGTGTTATTAGTTTAAGCAGACTGTGATTGTCTATTGTTGTGACTTAGATGATGATCAGATCACATTTTATGACCAATTTGTACAGAAATCCATATCATTGCAAAGGGTTCACATACTTTTTCTTGCAACTGTACCTTTGTTATTCAATTCTCTGAGTGGTGAGGTAGTGATAGGTAACACTCTCAGTCAATCAGTGGTGCCTGGTCCATGGCTTCCGGATTGAAGCTTGGGACCATGAAAGAAAGTAGATGGGTAGAGTGATGGGGTAGTGAGTTTGAGGTTATACTGATGCCAGGCACAATCTTAAAGTAAGATAGCGCCTGTGATCTTCCAGCACCATAACTACTTAGTTGCAATTAACTTGTTACGATCACTGGAGTGGTGCTTTAAACACAATGGACAAGCATGCTTTCAAACTATTAAAAAATCAATTTATTTGCTTTTGATCATTTAAAGTGATCCTGAAAATTGATTGGCCTCGTAAGCTGAAGAGGCCCCCTTTAGAATTTTGTAGATTTGTTAATAAAAAAAAATGTTTACATTTGCTATAGCAATCTTTTATTTATGGGGCAGCTATTACAAGTAGTTTTACATGAATATTTGCATGTTTTACAAGATGTCTTCTTTCTTGTAACAGTGAGAAAAGATCCTGTAAAAATACCATCAAATCTGGAAGTTGACGTAATAGATATCACTAATACATGTGAAGATTTACATTTTATCAAGCCATTATCCTTGTTTGAAGCTTCCCAGTGTGAAGATAAGTTCCCATTTGTTGCAGAAATCTTAGAAAGTTCAAAAAGCACATCTCTTATGAAAGATGAAATATTCTCTTCACTGAGGAAAGGGCAAAAGATTGTTGTTCAAAAGAAGAATCTTTCCAGAAAAATTTTGGCCACCGCCAATAAAGGAAAACTATCTAGGTTCTTCTACATTCATGATACATATCAGGGGAAATTTCGTCAACGACCAAGAGAATTTGCAACAATTTATGATCTGTGGGCCCAAGTTACTGCAGGCTACAAATTGAAAGTTGTAGTAACTCAGGACTGTGAAACATCAGAGGGTCCTTCCCTGTACATTGGAGACCATCTTCAAGTTCTTAATCAGACAAAAACCAGAATATCTACTGGAACGGGCTTACAAGAAGTAGATCTTCTAGTATGTCGAAGGGACTCAGGTGATGATGAGGAAGAATCAGAGGAGGTCACACTCCCATTGTACTTGGAAGGTCGTTTTGTCGAAGAGGTGACAAATAACAAAAGATACACCCTCAGCAACTTAATTCAATCATTTAAACTTCCTTGTGAGATGAAAGTTGTAGCTAAAGATCCATCTATGAACACTGACCCCCTATCATCATTTGCTTTTCTCAGACTGGAAGAGTTAATCGAAGACCCCGTTTTATTAATTAGTGTGTTGGAAAATCCTTTTGAGTGCTTTGAACTTCCTATCAAATATTCTGACTTTTCCTTAATTCTCCTTGAGGACACTGTCCCTAGTAGTAAAGAATTAAAAACTATAAATCATATAGAAGAGTTAACAGAATGTTTTTATTATGAAGTGCGGAAGCAAGTGCCAAACAATGAACTTCCTCCACCAAGGCCCCCTAAAAGACAGGTCACAACCAAGGAAGAGAGTAAATGCAACATCAGCAAAACTCCAAAAAAAAGTGTACCCACTGACTTGAAGGTAAGTATAATAAAGTTTTAGGATGAGTTTAAATTCATAACACATTGTATTATACTGTTATACATATATTCAACCTATTCGTATATTCTATGTTGTGCGCGGTAATAATTTGTGTTTTGTAATTTCTTCCTTAAAGGGACACTATAGCCACCAAAACAACTTTACCGGTATGAAGCAGTTTAGGTGTATAGATCATGCCTCTGAAGTCTCCTTGATCATTTCCCTTGGTCGTCTTATGGTTTAAAGACCACAATAGGATGTATTTTAAAAAGCTCAGTAAATCATTAACAAAGCAATATAGGATTACATTTTTAAGTTGTAAAGGGAACCACCAGTTTTTGTACATTAGGTCCAATTTAATGTTAGGAATACTATAGCATTAGGAATTCTGTTTAATATTCTGTAGGACCTACACTGAAAAACAAATTAGTCTTATATTTTTATTTATTTATTTATTTTATTGGTCCATGTTTTAAATTTCTTGTGAAATATTAAAAGTAACCACTGCAGGTATAATCTTGTTTCCATTTTTCCTCCTACATTCATATTGGCTTCTGCTATTGCAGAGGATCACAATTATTGATATATTTTCCATTTGCCTACGGTTCTTTTTTGACTGTTTTATTTATTTTCTTTTTTTCCATTCCTTTTGGATGTTGGTTAGTGTGTTGTATTTTAAGCTTCAATATAAGTTAAGTTTTGTGATGACCATTAGTTTTACCAGTTACAAGGTTTTCTTTTTTTTGTCAATTTCAAGTTCTGGATTATACCTATTCTTTAAAGTGGGGGACCTTAGAGCCTTATTCTTTATTGTCATAGCTTCCTACGTAAGGAATGATTAGCCCTATTTTGTGCTCCCTACTTTGGTGGTAGAAGCCAGCAATTTTGCTTTATTATCAGACTGCCTCAAGAAAAAGTTCAGGGGAGAGTAAAAAATGAAGGGGGAGAGGGCAGCCCTGTGTATTTCCGCATTTAATGTTTATTGGCTTAGATAGCAATCAATTATCCAGAACCTGGTGTTATGAAGATGTGATTATATTGTTGACACGATCATGCTAAGCAATATATCATTGTGTTTTGGTGGGTGGCTTTATAAAGAAAATAGATAGATTGGATGCTTATGAGGAAGCCTGTACAGAACTAAATGCATAAAGCATTTAAAACATTACAGAGAACATGCCATAATAAGGCATGAAAGTTAAACAATTCTCTTCACAGATGAGTGCTGTTATGAATGGGGTAGGTTGAGAGATCCCTGAAGGTATCTAACGATGGTTGTCCACATACAGGGCCGCCATCAGGGCATGACAACCGTAACGGTTGTCATGGGCCCGGCGGTCCTGGGGGGCCCGGACTGCTCAGGTCGTCCGGGCCCCACATTAAGTGGGTACATACCGGGTCGCAGGGGGCCCTGCGACCCGGTATGTACCCACAGGGCCAGCCTCTTCTCCTGGGGGGCCCAGCAGCCCCCCAGAGGCTGGCCCTGAAAGCCGGCCGGCGCGCGAGGGAGCACTCTCCTCTGCTGCTGCCTCTTCGGCTCCCTCGCGCACCGTACTGAAGCCGGAGCCGGAAGATGACGTCATCTTCCGACTCCGGCATCAGTACGCAGCGCGCGAGGGGGCTAAAGAGGAAGCAGCAGAGGAGAGTGCTCCTCAAGTACAATGGACTACCGGGGAGGAAATTTAAGGAGGAAGGGGGAAAGAAATTGGAGGGAGGAAGGAAATGGGGGGAGGGGGGGGAGGAAGGAAATGGGAGTGGGGAGGGGGGGAGGAAGGAAATTGGAGGGGGGAGGAAGGAAATTGAGGGGGGAGGGAAAGAAACTGGGGGGAGGGAAGGAACTTAAGGGAGGGAGGGAGGGGATGTAGCCTTGAACATGGAGGGGGGAGGAAAGAAATTGAGGGAGGGAGGGGGATTGAAGGAAACTTGTTGGGAGGGGGGAGGAAAGAAATTGGAGGGATGGGAGGGGGGATGAAGGAAATTTCTGCTGGGAGGGAGGGAAGGAAACTGGAGGGAGGGAGGGGGATGAAATGAAATTTATGGGAGGGGGAGGAAAGAAATTTAAGGGGGCAGGGGGGGGAATTTAAGGGAGGGGGGAGGAAAGAAATTTAAGGGAGGGGTGGAGAGGAAGGAAATTTGAGGGGGGAGAGGAAGGAAATTTGAGGGGGAGGAAGGAAATTTGAGGGAGGGAGGGGAAGGAAATTTGGGGGAGTGGGAGGAAGGAAATTTGAGGGGGGAGAAGGAAGTTGGGGAGGGGGGAGAAGAAGGAAATTGGAGAAAGGGGGAGAATAAGGAAATTGGAGGGAGGGAGGGGGAGAAGAAGGAAATTGGAGGGGGGAGAAGGAGAAGGAAATTGACGGGGGGGAGGGGGAGAGATTGACATCCATCACACACAATGCACCCCTTACACACACTCAATGCATCCCTTACAGACGCACACACTGCATCCCATACATACACAAACTCACCTTGCAGCCCTTACACATACAAACACAGATTCACACAATGCATTCCTTACACACATCAGAACATCCCCCCCACACACACTCCACCTCACACACAATGCACCCCTTACACACACTCAATGCATCCCTTACAGACGCACACACTGCATCCCATACATACACAAACTCACCTTGCAGCCCTTACACATACAAACACAGATTCACACAATGCATTCCTTACACACATCAGGACATCCCCCCACACACACTCCACCCCCTGTGAACAAACTCATTGGTGGAACATGAAGGTGGACCCTGGGACCTAGACCTTGAGCTGTGTAAAGGGCCCTCAAAAAAATGGAGCTGATTCCCGTTGATCCCAGAACATTGATTTTTGTGACCACAGTTACAAAACGCCTCCAGAGAGCCTGTTCTACACCAGACCAGTGGAGCCAGACTGCAGCTAGAGCCCATCATCATCCTCATCTGGTTGTAAATAGGCAATCTAGTATATTATTTGTGGCACTAATCTCTAATTTACCTCACATTAAAGGGACACTATAGTCCCTAGAACCACTACAGCTTAATGTAGTGGTTCTGGTGTCTAGCCTGTCCCTGCAGGCCGTTTAATGTAAACACGGCGGCACTGTAGCACTGGTGTTAGTTAACATGGCAGATCATATGGGTGGGGCATTGTGATGTCACATGGGGGGGCGACAAACTTTACTTTTGCCTAGGGCGGCAAAAATCCTTGCACCGGCCCTGCAGACACTGCATTCCTGTGGGCGGACTCGGGGGGGGGCAGCACTTTGGGCGGACTCGGGTGCGGGCACCGGGGGGCCCAGACCTTGAGCTATGTCAGGGGCCCCAAAATTTCTGATGGCAGCCCTGTCCACATATGCTGCACTGCTGAAGCACTCATCTGTGGAAAGAAATGCTTTGAATAGCCTTGTGCAGGGAAGCTAAAGGTGGTTCAAAATCGGGTATGTCCTGATACATTTGGTAGAAAGTGGAGGAATTGTTTTCCAGAGCAATCTGTTTTTTGGGGGTTTTTTCTTTCGAGAGAATAAGGCATGTCATTAGTTTAATTCCTGGTCTCTACATGATATAAATTTTTGTTAATATTCCAATTTGCTGAAAACTCCAAGTAGACAATAAGATTACAGCTGTAATTTTATAATTCATTCATTTCCCCACATGTCTTTACAAGGCTTTTTGCAGAACTAAAATGCACTAAAAATAAATCCTATAAGCTCCACGTACATATCTGATTATATTTAAGTGCGTCATATCATGAGGTCATAAAGGTCATGTTATTCAAAAACATTGATCCTGTAAACATGATTATTTGATTCACACTTCTTCATCATAGGTGTTTTTACCATTACAGATAAGCACAACAGACTACAGGAAGCCCAATGAGAAGTGGGGATTGCACAGTGATACTGAATTGCCAGAGACCAGTGCTTTATGCAAGAATGATACATATTCTCCACCCCCTCAAAAATGTTCAGCTGAAATAGGTAAGTATCGCAGTTTCAAGGTTTTCCGGCATTTATCAGATGCAGTTATCTATATCTGGGATACAAGAATACAGATTTAACCTCTTCCCTCCTATCCAAGGAATGTTAAGAAGCCCTCTGCTCTATGACTGGTCTTCACCTAACAAAGAAAACAAAATCTCTACCAATGCTTTAGACAATCCCTAGGTCTGGCTCAGAGGAATTTCAAATATAACCTCTTCTCATCCTTCACAATTGAGTGTATATAATGTAATTAAAATTGTGTTTGTAGCACACAAAAAAAAGGAAAGAAAAATTACAAATAATTTGAACATTTTTAATATTCATTATAAAGCTAAGGGGTTTAATGTTTACATATGTTTGCAGGACATTACTAAAACTGCTCAGAATTTTAAAAAGCTGTAGCTGGTTGAAAATCTAAACTCACACTCCTAGCCACAAAAATAAGAATCTATAAATCCCTGTAGGGGAAGGGTAAAACTGATTGGATTTTCAGGAAACCAGCCATCAATGGATAATCTTTATAGGAGACTGAAATAAAAACGTTGCATAAAAATATTATTGAAACCATAATATCTATCATGGATTACTGCATAATCCCTCGGGTGCCTATTGTTTTAGATCACATCCCATGCTAATATTATTATCATTATTATTATCATGATTTATAAAGCACCAACATATATCCGGCAGAGCTTTACAAGTAAAAAAGGGGGATATTTGACAACAATATCTTTGTTGAATTAAGCTGATAAAAGTGGTGTGGAGAAGTACCAAGCAGTGGCGGGAGAGAGAGTGAGCTGGGCCATGGAGGTGAGGGTAGTGGTAAGGGCAGTGAAATGAAAGAAATGTCACAAAGGAAAATGGATTGCTTTCCAAAACAATGTGAATTCCTAAGAAACTGGAAAGCCATTGAAAAACCTTGCAGATGAGACTTGGCAATTTGTGAATGAGCAGATGTCAGGAGAAGATCATTTGCAGAGCAAATGTAAAGAGTAAGGAGGAAATGTTGTGAGGAGTGGAGTTAATGAGGGCTTTGTGGGTTAATTTTTGCAGTTTGAATTGGATCCCGAAGGGTACAGGAAGCAAATGTAATCAATGGCAAAAATATGAGATGTCAGAGTAGTAGTCAGTCAGGAAGATGAACCTGGCTGCAGTATTCATTGCAAACTGAGGGGAAATGTGGGTATGTGGAAGGCAGATGACTAGTGAGTTGCAATAGTCAAGTCAAGAAATGATGAGTGCATGAACAAGTACCTTAGTTGTATCCTCAGTTAGAAAAGGGCAAAAGCAGGCAATATTTTTAAGGTGGAATTTACAGGATCTGGAGACAGATGGATATAAGCAGAAAAGACCCAAGTCAAAAGTAACACCAAGGTAGTGCGGTAAAGGGACTGGGGTAATAGTTGTCCCATTAACGTACAGGGAGACTGATGGAGGATGATTATATGAGGGGGGTAAGATGAGGAGTTCAGTTTTAGAAAGATTAAAGGGACATAATACCCACCAAAACAAAAGTAGTTTTGGTATATATATCCATTTCCTAGTCCCATTGTTCAATTATGCACCATTTAGGAGTTAAATCACTTTGTTTTATGTAGCCTTAGTCACACCTCCCGGCATGTTACTTACATGGCCTGCCTAAACACTTCCTGTAGAGTCATCTAATGTTTTCACTTCTACTGCAAATTCTGTTTAATTTAGAATTTCTTATCTCCTGCTCTGATAATAGCTTGCAAGACCCTGCAAATAAACTTTTAAAGTAAGTTAATATCTGATTGAAAATGAAACCATTTGGGCGGAGCCTGACTCTCAAGCTGGCCAGACGTGTTTGTCTGGAGCTCTGGCAAACCTGAGACTTTTCAAAGGGAATTGTGCTGTTTGAGAGTGGGGACCACGACGGAAACAAGAGCGAGACATAGGCGGCCGATTCCCCGGCGGAGGGAACGTGCTCATAGAGAATACACTGAAGCCCCGTCGCCCCCTCTCTGGACCGGTGGGGGACATCCTGGTCCCCACTGGAATGAAGTACCACCTTGCAGCAACAGACCCATCTCCAGCGGACCCTGAGTGGTACATAAACACCCAGAGTGACGCTACCAAAATGGCAACCGAGCCGCAACTAAGGCAGAGCAACCTGGGCCTAACGGCTCAAGAATTGAGGGAAGCTTTTGAAGCCAAGTTTGATGCAATCTGCCAGGCGTTCTGGCATAAACTCAAAGCAAGACCTTTCCTGCCAGCATCTCCTGCCAAGAGGGTGCCCGACGCTACCATCCCATCTGCCCAATACTCTTCTGGGCTGGGAGCCCACCAGGAGTTGACTCCATGCCGTCCATACACCCAAGGGGGCGCCCGGAATGAGGAGAATCCACTGGCCCACGAGCCGACCACCGAGATTGGGAGGCTTCATGGACACAAGACAAGGGCTCTCACTAAGGCCCAGAGCCGCAGAGGAGGGAAATCGGGACACAGTGGGAACACTCATACGAAACGGCGAACACACCAAAGCAATGCATGCCCCCCTCCTTCCCGTGGCCATCAGCCACAGGGCCTGGCTGGGGAACACCATGTCGATCTGAGGGCAAGCATTCTGAGTAGCACCGACAATGCCACTTTGGGGGACAACACCATAACAGCTGTTGGTGTCGGCTAAGTAATGTTTAGAGATACTGAGCCACGAGGCCTGAGAAACCGCTGTTTTATATCACATTATATGATATCTTGTGTTGTTTACGCTACCCGGTTGTTTACTAGTCTTGGCATGTTTATTTTTCTTTATATCACCCCTTATCACAAGCTCTACATGTCTCAAAGACTCTGATTGCAGCTAAAGTGGGAACTCATACCAGTCCTGTTTAAGCATGATTAATACTCTCAAGTAACGTGTATTGATTAAGCAAGGTTAGGTTATACATAACTCCTAAAGCCTGTTTGATTATGCCTTAACATAACTATGCAACACAAAAAAAGTGCTGTACTGCAATGAGCAACTATTATCTCTTGTGTAATGCTGGATATTGCTATTGTAGCATATCACCCCTGCTTGTAACCAAATCATTCTTATACTATAAAGTAGTGAATGTTAACTTCAATACCCTGATTGTTAAGAGAGATAAGAAGCCAGAGGACTGCCGTTGGGGTACCTCAGTCCTGTATGTACCCACCTTATGCACTGCAAAAATATTTTTAAAAAAAAGAAAATGAAACCATTTTGTTTTCATGCAGGCTGTGTCAGTGACAGCCAGAGAATGGTGGCTAGGGCTGCATAAACAGAAACAAAAGTGATTTAACTCCTAAATGACAGAGAATTAAGCAGTGAGCTAAAGTTATTAAGCAGTGACTATAGTGTCCCTTTAAGTTTTTATAAAACAGGAAGACATCCAGTTATAGATGGAAGAGTGGGAGTTTGTGACACATTCCATGAGAGCAGGAGGAGGTCAGGGGAGGAGAGGTAAATTTGTCTACCATCAAATGGTACTGAAATCCAAAGAGGTTAATAAGGTTACAGAGAGAGGCAGTGTAGATGGAAAATAAAAGAAGATGAAGAACAGAGCCTTGGGGAACGCCAACTGAGACAGACAGGCAAACTAACAGACTTTGATACAATGTATTTTCTTTAAACTATCTATTTAAAATGTAGCATTGTTTGCAAGTCAGGGCTATCCTAAACTAATATAAATCTACTTTATACTCATTCGTATAGCAACACGCCACAGCAAACAAAATAGAAACACAAGTATTTGAATCTCTGCGTATTTAGTGTGCTCTCTAAAATAATAAAATAACAGCAAAAATAATATATGAACAATATTAAGAAGCGGCTAATCATTGTAATAATTAGCCTAAATACCCCATATAAATAGTTCACTTTATCTGCTATTATTCCATATAGCATTCCAGCATGTTTCTGACAACAAAATAATAAAATAAAATAAAAATTATAGAAAATATTTTGTTTAATATTGTAAATATACATATTTTTTAAATCTCCAAATTAACTAAAGATCAGGGTAAAACAAACTCTATAAAGACTCTTGAACCATTAAATGGTCTTTCTAAAGATGCCATTATTTTTATCATATCATATAATTTACTATAAAAAAAGTTAAAAAAACACACTATTTCGAACTTTGACCCTGTAAATCTGTTACACATCTACAACCGCCAAAAAACAACCATATTAAATTGTTTCTAAATTTTGTCATGAGTTTTGAAATACCCAATGTTAACATGTTCTTATTTCCAAACCATTTTTTTCCCCAAAATTAACAATAGTTACATTGTAACACTGATATCTATCAGGAATCCATGAATAACCCTTCACATGTATATATTTTTTAAAAGAAGACAACCTAAGGTATTAAACTTGGGGTATTTTGACTTTTTTCATGCAACCATTTTTCCACCAATCTATGCCAAATTTAAAAATAATAATAATAATAAGTGATTTTTTTGACACACTTAGCAATTTAAGAATACATGTCCTGAGAACTTTAAGGGTTACTGCCAAAGAACACCCCAATATGTGTTCAGCAACGAGTGATACCACCCATGTATAGGTGTGTCTGGTTGTCTGGGGGCTAAAATACTTTATTTGGAGGGTGCTCATTCCAGTTTTCCAACTTGGAGTTTTCACATTTTCACTTGGAATTTTCCTATTTGGGACATTTTTAAATTTACCCCCATCAAACCATTTATTTTCTGAAAAGTAGACAACCCAGGATATTCAATATGAGGTATGTCTAGTCTTTTTTATTAGCCATTTAGTCACAAAAACTGGCCAAAGGTAGCATTTATATTTGTTTGTCTGTTAAAAATGCAAAAAACAATTATGAATGCTAACTTTGGCTAGTGTTTGTGACTAAGTGACTACTAAAAAAGACGGAACCATACCTTTGCCATACCTCGGGATATCTTCTTTTGCAAATGGTATGCCATCATGGGGGTAATTCTCATTCCTGGGCTACCATACACTCTCAAGGGCAACATAACCAATCTGGCAAATTTCAATGTGAAAAAAACAGCCTTATACTTGACCCTGTAACTCTCAAAAACACTATAAGAGCTATACATGGGGGATACTGTTGTACTCGGGAGACTTCACTGAACAGAAATATTAGTGTTTCAAAACTGTAAAACGTATCGCAATAATGATATCAGTGAAAGTACCGTTTGTGTGTGAAAAATGCAAAAAAATTCACTTTCACTGACAATATCAATGCTCTGATATGTTTTACTGTTTTGAAACACCAATATTTTAGTTGCAAAATTGCAATCAATAAAATTAATTATGTAAAAATATTACATAAATATGCACGTAGAATTTAAATATATATACATATTTATATATTTGAAGGCTACGTGTATATTTTTTAAATTATTTATGTAATTATGTATATGGACATATGTATATTTCGTATTATTTTTATTTATTTATATATACACATAGAAAGATATATATAATTTTATTCTAAGTATTATATATATATATATATATATTAATATCAAAACACAGTTAGAATAAAATACATATATATATATATACACTTTTTGTAAATTTGTTTTATAATTTTAAAATTTTGCTATTTATTTTTAATTGATTATTATGTAACCGCAGGTGGTTCCCTTATTTACCACTATAATGTCTTAAAGCATAGAACTTAGTAGGGCTAACCATACAGATATCTTAGCCATAATTTTATATAGTGTAAGAGATCCTCTATTTAACATATATAAATAATTGAGAATACAATATAAAATAAGGATTGTCTTGGAAGCAATAGTTTTGTCTTTTGGATATTTATTATATAAAAATATAAAATCCATTATAGCAGAGTTTATAAGATTAAACTAAATGCTTTCAAATATCATTAATAGGTTAACATACCCTTCTGAACATGTCATCATGTCAGCCTCTGTCATTTTAAGATGGAGCAGCGTCTGTCTCCAAGTCTCTCCTCTGTGTCTTAACATTTAAAAGTACACCTATTTATACCTTAGGTGTCTCCATTTTAGGGTTACTGTAGTTCAAATATGAAAAGTAACACTTCTTTTACTTTATTCAATTTAGGACCTCCCTTAACTTGGCAAACATACAAGGCCATAACTAAAGGGTGTATACGTCATGGAAATTTTCCTGACTTAGTTCAAGATGGCATCTTAAAGTCTGAATAGGTTATCTGTTGTTTATACTAAGTCGTAAGTGTACAGTCGTGGGAGATTCCCGGATTTGGGGAAGTTCCATTAACTTGGGGTTACCACAGTATATTGTGTACTGAAAGAGTCGTAGCATAGCCTTGAAGCTTGTTTATGCATTATTGTAATTCGTCTGGGACAAAATAGAATAAACATATTATGCACTGAGGTTATTGCTTAAAGAAACATGTATGAAAAACAATATGTTCCATTTCTAACACCTTGTCAGTTTGCAATATCTCTTAAAGACAAAGTACACAGTTTAAGAAATACAACATTTCATTCTAAAACTTGTAATATTTGCATTTGCCCATAACAATTAATTATTTTTATAATAATATATATATATATATATATATATATATATATATATATACATACACACACACACACACACAATATATATAGTTATTATATATACACACACACACACACACACACACGTGTGTAATTTTACTCTGTATTTTTATATTACTATATGCATATATGAATAAAAAAATACACTTAGTATGACAATATATACACACACACACACACACACACACACACACACATATCTCATATATATATATATATATATATATATATATGTATACATATATATTTTATTATTTATTTATTAACATAATTTTTTATTGTAAAACTGTCAGTTCAGACAGTCCCTTTGCTGGCAGCACTATGGACACCTATTGCAGCCATGTGACCATTTTTTCAGTGGGTCCTGATTTGCCAAGGGGGTACTGTCTGGGATATCAGACAGTCCCCCCAGATGGAGAATACTGATCGCCGGCGGGGGAACTGCGGCGATCGGGTAAGTGAATGGGAGGGGATTAATATTGGGGAGGGGGTTAGTATTGGGGGGTTAATACTTTATTTATTTGGGGGGCTTCCGATGCTCTGCACTACACTGCTGGGCTCCACGTGGGGAAACCCAGAAGTGATCGCTCCACGGGAGCGATTACTTGGGGGACTGGCAGTCGGGGGGGATATTGCAGGATGCCTCAACATCGAGGCATCACTGCAATACCTTTAGAGCAGCTGGAAGTGATCATGATCGCTTCCAGTGCTCATATTGGCAGCGGATGCACAGGGTACATCAGCAGTCTTTAAGGACCGTTTTTTTTACGTACCCTGTACATCTGTGGTCACTAAGGGGTTAGTATTCTGTTAAGACTAATTAGAACATGGATAAGCCTCTTCTTAATATTGTACATACTCTAAGCACCAAAAAACTATTTTAGCTTAAAGGGACACTATAGTCACCAAAACAACTTTAGCTTAATGAGACAGTTTTGTTGTATAGATCACGCCCCTGCAGTCTCACTGCTCAATTCTCTGCCATTTAGGAATCAAATCACGTTGTTTATGAACCCTTGTCACACCTCCCTGCATGTGACTTGCACAGCCTTCATAAACACGTCCTGTAAAGAGTCATCTAATATTTATCCTTCCTTTATTGCAAGTTCTGTTTAATTTAGATTTTCTTATCCCATGCTATGTTAAAAGCTTGCTAGACCCTGCAAGAGCCTCTTGTATGTGATTAAAGTTCAATTTATAGAGCAAGAGATAAAATTGTGTAAGGTGAATTACATCTGATTGAAAGTGAAACCATTTTTATTTTATTTTATTTTTTTTTATTTTTTTTATGCAGGCTATGTCAATCAGAGCCAGGGGAGGTGTGGTAATTGCTGCACAAACAGAAACAAAGTGATTTAACTCCTAATTTGCAGTAAATTGAGCTGTGAAACCTGAGAGGCATGCTCTATACACTAAAATTGCTTAATTAAGCTAAAGTTGTTTAGGTGACTACAGTGTCACTTTAATCAATCTGCTTTTATGTAAATATCATGCTGCTGTCAGTTTGGAGTTAAATTACTTTGTTTATGCAGCCCTAGTCACCCCGCATGTGACTTACACAGCCACCCTACACACTTCCTGCAAAGAGAGAGCTAATGTTTAAACTTCCTATTTTTGGCAGTGTGTTTAATTTAGAATTTGTTTGTTAATAGATCTATTTGTTAATTAAAACTTTTTTTATTCATCCAGGCTGTGTGAGTCACAGCAAATGAGGTGTGGCTATGCTTCATTAACAGAAACAAAGGTAATTTAACTCCTACATGACAAATAATTTAGCAGTGACTCTCTACAGGGATATGAAATATATATTAAAGATGATTTATTAAGATAAAGTTGTGTTTGGTGCTAAGAGTATCCCTTTCATTTCAAGGTTGTAAAATGAATCCCTGATTATGAAATCCACATACTGGAGGGTCCAAAATGTTAAAACTTCCTGGATGGTGTGTGATTACTGTGCCAGGAGTGCATTAACACTCCCCCTTTTTTGTAGATTTTGTTAGGGAGCTGGCACCAGGGCACCTCTGCTACCATAGCAACTATGATGCACTGGAGTGTACTTACACCATAAATTGGTATTTATTTTGTACACAGATTATATACAAGACCATGACTATGAAGATTTGGAGGCTGAGCTGAAGATGCTAAGTGTGACAAATAAGAAAGCTTTTTAAAACATGCAAAGGTAAGTCGCTTTGTTTTAAACATTCCTAGCTGCAGGCAGAAGTCCATTTTGACAGATTTATGTACTTCATTTCTGGCATTTATTTACTCTTACCTTATTGCTCAGAACTGTATTATGCTTACCTCATTCACAGTTAAGGTTTTCAAGGACAAATACATTCTACTTTCAGACACTTCCACAGCAAATGCATATTTGCACAGCTGTAGCAGTGTGTGCCCATGATCTGCTTGTTCTGAGAAATTGGTTTTACCACTTCCATGCCTGTGCTAATGTGACCACTCCGCTTATTCACAGCAAATATATATGTGGTTGTCTAATCTAATGAAACATAAGAACAGGCATGCAGACACTGAACTTTCCTCACACAGCACCCTCAGACACACGCAGAACCCAGATACACACACAGCACCCAGACACACTGCTCACTCAGACAGACACTGCTCCCTCAGAAAGACAGCACCCTCACTCACACAGCACCCACTGATTGGCCAGGGCTGTGCTTGAATCATGCTGGCTCTGCCCCGATCTGCCTCTTTGTCAGTCTCAGCCAATCTTATGGGGAAGTATTGTGATTGGATCAGGCTACCACTTCTGATTATGTCAGCAGACTGCTTGTTTTACTGAGTCAAACAGCATGCAGAGTTACAGCTTCTGGCTTGAATACAGTAAGATTTTGCTACTTTTAGGGAGGCATGAGGGGCCCAGGGGGGCTAGATGGTGGTTTTAACCCGATAGGGTCAGGAATACACGTTTGTGTTCCTGATCCTATAGTGATCCTTTAATTAATTCGGTCATTGTGTGTATATAATGCAAGCAAGCCTTATACATTGCTCAATTTTAAATTTTAAATTCTTTTATCTTTTCCCCTTTTCTAGATGAATTCTCACTTGGAGAAAAGAACATTCTTTACTGTAACCATTGTCCTATTACTGATCTTCAGTTGCTAGAGTGCTTCAAATCTATATGTGTATATACATTGAAACAGAAAATGACAAATGTTACACCTCAATGTCTCAATTCTCAATCACAATTAGAATCTGCTGATTAACAAAATGTGCTTTTTTTTCTGTCCTTGGCTTGCTGACTCTAATCAGCTGTTTGCAATTCAAGCTTGATAGTCTGATGCTAAAATAAATATTGTCTTTATATGCTGAAGATTTAAAGGGCCCAGTGAATAGGCTTATAAACTATTCCAATTACATAAATCCTGCATTGCCTGAGTAGATCAGAGAAGAGAGCTTATATCTCTCCTGGAGGAAGTAAACCAAGTAAGTTGTTAAACCATATGCCTGCTGTAGTGGTTATTGTGCTTGAAGTGTTCCTTTAACCCCTTAAGGACCAAACTTTTGGAATAAAAGGGAATCATGACATGTCACACATGTCATGTGTCCTTAAGGGGTTAAAAACTTGCATCCTACAAGGGACAAGACTGCTCATGGGAAACCTGGTTCAACATTGGTTTGTTATACTTTTTTTTTAATTGAAAACTCATATATTGAAATAAAAATCTGCAAATAAAAAAGATAGAAATGTGAAATCAGATAAAAAATATACTTTTTTTTTTTTACTTTTATATAGAAAAATTTAACTGAATAATCATATTAAAATAATATTGTATGAAAAATATGTTAATAATCTGACGAAAATACCTGTACTTTTTGTTTTGTAAATAAATATGCTTATATCGTATTGGTAGAATGTTTATTCGTATGATCAAATCAAAGACTTCTGGAATCCAAGGGTCCCATGTTAATGATCATAAAGACAGAGACAAAAAAAAGAGGAAGTTTATGTGTAATTTAACTGTAACTATTGTCTATTAACTTTAGTTCTGCTAGTTACATTTTAACATGTGCACTCATTACCTATAATTATGATTTTACTTTACAGTTACCATTTTTACTTATCAGTCTGGCAGGAATTTCTTAACTAGTTTGTCAGACAGATTTTTTAGTATTTTTTTCTCCATAGATGACCGTTGTAATAACCAGGCCCGGACTGGCCATCGGGTATACCGGGCAAATGGCCGCTTGGGCCGCGATGGCCGTGGGGCCGAGGCTGGCAGGGAGATCATAGGATCTCCCCGGCCGGCCCCTGCAGGGACAGCGCTATCCGAGCGCCGGCCCTGCTGTGTGCCTCCATGGGCCGGTGAGGAGATCAAAGATCTCCCTCACCGGCCCACAGGCATGGAGATGGGGCCGCCAGCAGGAGAGGGAGTGAGGTAGGGAGGCAGGAGAGGACCGGCGGAGCTCTAACCAGCAGCTCCACCGGGTCCTCTCGTGGGATTCTGAGCGTTGCCGCGGTTACCACGGCAACGCTCAGATTTCGTGAGAGTGAACTCTAGCCTGCAGGTTAGAGTTCACTCTCACCACTGGACCACCAGGGAAGGCAGCATGGTCCTCCTCCTCCATGGATACCCGGCTCCCCACCCCCTCCCAAGGTAAGAAGGGAGAAGGGGATAGAACTTTTTTTTATTATATATAAAAAATATATATTTAAATTTAAATAAACACTCACACACACTCACACACAGCACACACACAGCACCCAGACACACACAGCACCCTCAGACACACACAGCATCCAGACACACACAGCACCCTCAGACACACACAGCACCCTCAGACACACACAGCATCCAGACACACACAGCACTCTCAAACACACACAGCACCCTCAGACACACACAGCACCCTCAGACACACACAGCACTCAGACACACACAGCACCCTCAGACACACACAGCACCCTCAGACACACACAGCACCCTCAGACACACACAGCACCCAGACACACGCAGCACCCTCAGACACACGCAGCACCCTCAGACACACATGCAGCACCCAGATACACACACAGCACCCAGACACACACGCAGCACTCAGACACACACAGCACCCTCAGACACACGCAGCACCCAGATACACACGCAGCACCCAGACACATGCAGCACCCAGATACACACGCAGCACCCAGACAGACACTGCTCCCTCAGAGAGACAGCACCCTCACTCACACAGCATCCACACACAGCACATTCCCACACATATACAGCACACACACACATATATATATATAATAAATAAAATAACCCTCAGTGAGTTAACAGACAAAAAAATTTAGAAACCTAGAATGTGATGGCAGATAAAAACACCTTCACACACAGCACCCCTCTTACACACACACACACTCACACACACACACACACACTGCGCCCCTAACACATACAATACATCCAAATATAAATATATATATACACACTCAGATCTCGTGAGAGTGAACTCTAGCCTGCAGGTTAGAGTTCAGTCTCACCACTGGACCACCAGGGAAGGCAGCATGGTCCTCCTCCTCCATGGATACCCGGCTCCCCACCCCCTCCCAAGGTAAGAAGGGAGAAGGGGAACTTTTTATATAAAAAATATATATTTAAATAAACACTCACACACACTTACACACAGCACACACACAGCACCCAGACACACACAGCACCCTCACACACACAGCACCCTCAGACACACACAGCACCCTCAGACACACACAGCATCCAGACACACACAGCACCCTCAGACACACACAGCACCCTCAGACACACACAGCATCCAGACACACACAGCACCCTCAGACACACACAGCACCCTCAGACACACACAACATCCAGACACACACAACATCCAGACACACACAGCACCCTCAGACACAGCACCCAGACACACACAGCATCCAGACACACACAGCACCCTCAGACACACACAGCACCCCCAGACACACACACCAGCACCCCCAGACACACGCAGCACCCCCAGACACACACGACACTCAGACACACACAGCACCCTCAGACACACACACCTCAGACACGCACAGCACCCTCAGACACGCACAGCACCCTCAGACACACACAGCACCCAGACACATACAGCACCCTCAGACACATACAGCACCCTCAGACACACACAGCACCCTCAGACACACACAGCATCCAGACACACACAGCATCCAAACACACACAGCACTCAGACACACACAGCACCCTCAGACACACACAGCATCCAGACACACACAGCACCCTCAGACACACACAGCACCCTCAGACACACACAGCATCCAGACACACACAGCACTCTCAAACACACACAGCACCCTCAGACACACACAGCACCCTCAGACACACACAGCACCCTCAGACACACACACAGCATCCAGACACACACAGCACTCAGACACACACAGCACCCTCAGACACACACACAGCATCCAGACACACACACAGCACCCTCAGACACACACAGCACCCTCAGACACCGCAGCACCCTCAGACTGCGCAGCACTCAGACACACGCAGCACTCAGACACACGCAGCACCCAGACACACACAGCACCCAGACACACACGCAGCACTCAGACACACACAGCACCCTCAGACACACGCAGCACCCAGATACACACGCAGCACCCAGACACATGCAGCACCCAGATACACACGCAGCACCCAGATACACACGCAGCACCCAGACAGACACTGCTCCCTCAGAGAGACAGCACCCTCACTCACACAGCACCCACACACAGCACACTCCCACACATATACAGCACACACACACATATATATATATAATAAATAAAATAACCCTCAGGGAGTTAACAGACAAAAAAATTTAGAAACCTAGAATGTGACGGCAGATAAAAACACCTTCACACACAGCACCCCTCTTACACACACACACTCACACACACACACTGCGCCCCTCACACATACAATACGTCCAAATATAAATATATATATACACACTACAGCACCCCTCACACGGCACCACTACACACATTACGCTGCAGATACATGCTAGATCCCTTACCTATATGCACTCTTAATCCTCTACACACAAACACACACACATACAATCTCCTATACACACTTGAGTCCGTTACACACTAGATCTCCTACACACACACTGCCCCTAGCCACACATATTACACCACAAACACAAATTAAATTGACCCATACATTTTCCTGGCCCTTTTGTCCTCTGGTATCCCACTTGCGGAGACACCAGAGACAATTTAAAAGCAAACACAGCGCAAGCATGTTTTTAAATTTGCTTGCGCTGCGCAGAACAAATACAGGCCCTTTTTTAATGCTAGAGCTCTTTAGCAGGGCTCTGCGCATTGAACCAACATGCTCACTTTGAGAGGGGGCGTGTTTGTCTCTAGCCCCGCCCCCTACTTCGGGGGCCGCTCTGATTGAAAAATGCCCGGGCCAAATTTTTTTCCCAGTCCGGCCCTGGTAATAACTGCTCTGTGTTTATTTTGTCGAATAAGTCTTTTATACATAGATATTTCTTCTTGGGTCAAAGGCTCGCAACATTAATATATGTCTATATTAAGGAAAAGTACTAATATGCAATCTGATGTTCTTTATAAAAAATACGCATTTATTCTACTTCAAAAGCAAACAATAATATACTTAACAGATGGTATTTCTTAACGATGTTACAGAGAGTGAGGGATTTTAAAGGGACACTCCAGTGCCAGGAAAACAAACTGTTTTCCTGGCACTGCAGGTCCCCTCTCCCTCCCACCCCCCATCCCAGGTTGCTGAAGTTAAAACCCCTTCAGTGACTTATCGGAGTCCAGCGGCGATGTCACTCGTCGCTGGTCCAGGGTCCGCCCATGCTCCTTCCCTGCCAACATCATATGGCGGGGGAGACCGATTGCGCATGCGAGGCCACCGGCGGGGAGAAACCTAATGCGCATGCGCTGCAATGCTCTGCGGCGGGTGGGGGCCATAATGATAATGAGGGGGGGGACCTACTGTCCACCCCCCTCTGGCCCCCACCCCTGGGCGGCGGATGGGGGCCAAATGATAATGAGGGGGGGACCTACTGTCCTCCCCCCCCGGCCCCCACCCCTGGGCGGTGGGTGGGGGCCATAATGATAATGGGGGGGGACCTACTGTCCACCCCCCTACGGCCCCCACCCCTAGGCGGCAGGTGGGGGCCATAAAGATAATAAGGGGGGACCTACTGTCCTCCCCCCCGCCCCCACCTCTGGGCGGCCGGTGGGGGCCAAATAATAATAAGGGGGGGCCTACTGTCCACCCCCCCTCTGGCCCCCACCCCTGGGCGGCGGGTGGGGGCCATAAAGATAATGGGGGGGGGACCTACTGTCCTCCCACCCCAGCCCCCACCTCTGGGTGGCGGGTGGGGGCCCTAAGTCAATTCCCCCCCCCCACATGGTGACTAGGGGTCCCCAAGCCCCTAGTCACCCACCCAGCCCCCCACCCAAATAAAAAGTCCCTACCTACCCCCCTCACCCTAAATAAAATAACTAACCTGTAAAATAAAATTAAACTTACCATTCAACGTCTTCTTTTTTCTCAAATCTTCATTTTTCAGCCCCAAAAAAGGCCAAATAAAAAAACCATCATAACTGTTGAACTTAAAATAAAATAAAAATCCTGAGCGCAAAAAAAAAAAAGGACGAAAAAGAAAAAACCCGAGCGCAAAAAAATAATCCATCTTCACCCATCT